CCCCAAAACCCCAAAACCCCAAAACCCCAAAACCCCAAAACCCCACATTTGGTGCTAAAGATTGAATTTGATGATCTTGAACATCTCAAGACGTATTTTTGAGGTCATAGACATTCTTAAGATTTAGAATACTTCTGATGGATAGTTTGGAAAATAGGAAGCAGTAAGCTCACCAAGATGATCATTCCTCCAAAGCCATCTGTGACTGTAAACGATCAATTGAAAATAAAAACATCGCTGATGAATAGGTAGAGAACATTGAAATACTGCAAAGGAGACACAAGAGAAGCATCAGCATATTTAAATGCAAGAGACTTACCTACTTGCACTCCATAGTTGAAGACCCCTGATAGGAGGAACAAAGAGATATCTAAATATGTGTAATACTCAAAGTTAAACACACTTGGGTAGCAGAGCAACAGAGAGATTGAGATAATTACAGTTGTGATACTAAACCAGAAAGGACTCATGGTGTAATGCAGTTCCTTATTTAGGACTCTTAATAAGATATTGATACTTGTTTGTCAACAGCAATTAATAAACACGAGAAAGATACCCAACAAATAGTACGGATTATCTTGATCACCTCCGCTCTTATGTAGTGTGAGCAAATACACTCCTATAAAGGCTCCAAAAGCTCCAATAACATTCAACTTTGTAAGTTTCTCTTTTAAAATGAAGAATGCAGCAATGGCAACAAGGAGAGGGTTTATATTGACAATAAGAATAGAAAGACTAAGTGGGATATGCTTCAGAGCAATGAATAAACACGGCATACCGATTCCACCAATAATGCATCTAAGTGCAAGCAACATCCTGTATTCTTTCTTAACATCAAAGACGTTCACCTTCGTCGAAACCACTTGGAATATAGAACAGATTGGTAAAATTATTGATCGTCACAACACATAATCTAGACCATTCAAGTGTTCATTCCTCTCATAAGCAAGTTTGCAGGTAATTGCTGATAGTGAGAAGCTCAAGCCTGTGGCTATCATATAAAGAATGCCTAGAAGCTTATTATCCTTAGATTTTATTTCGCCCTCCTTGACTGATATCTTTGCAACAGAGTCATCTAACCTTACATCTTGAACTTCATCAAAAGAGGATAGTCACTTCTGAGAAGTGTTATCTCCTCGATCAAAATGGTTCTTTCCAAAGGGGTCTTTTCCCAAAAGCTCTACTTGTTTTTCCCTATCTGTGGAATTAATTCTATCCATCTTTTTTCTGTTAATGTGCTTATTTCAAATTCTCCTTGTAATTTTGGGGTTTTGGGGTTTTGGGGTTTTGGGGTTTTGGGG